AGAAACCGGCGGCGGCGGCGGCTGCTGCTGCTGCTGCAACAGCTGCTTGGACAGGGACCACCTTCACTAAAAAGACACCATTCCAAAATAAGCAACTGAAACCAAAACAACCTCCCAAACCTCCCCAGATCCACTACTGTGATGTTTGTAAGATCAGCTGTGCTGGACCACAGGTACCTGTATTATGTAATATTCTGCTATACACCTTAGTCATAATTTCTCCAGCTAAAAAACTAACCCCTTTAAAATATTTGTTAATTTTTAAAGGTCTAATTCTATACTTCTACTAAAAGAATAATTACATGAAAATGTGTGTTATTATAGAAAGAGTTCCTATGAGAAGACAAAAAGATACCATCCTCTGAGCTTGTACAGAGAAGTTTCAGCTGTGCTTTGGACTTCAAAAATATTCTAAACTTTGAATTTGATTTGCTTTTTTAGCATAGCAAACTTCTTAGAAAATACTTTTTTTTCAAAAATACGGAATTATATAAATTTTGTGAATGGTAAGCCTGAAAATTTATTCTTCATTGTATTCCAGCATCCTAGTTTACTTTCACAGTGGCTACAAGTGCGTAGAAAGTAGATACCAATTCATGAAGAGTGTTGATATGTGTGTCTGGCTAAACAGTTCTTGCTCTTTAGGTAAACTTGTCATTACTTCCCACCCTATCTGCTTTCTAGATTGACAGTGTTGGTATAGGAACAAATATCAACTTCTGCACTTCATTTTCAGCACAGCTTTATTTACCCACTACCTTCTTTTGAATTTTATTTTTATAGTTCTCTGGATCACACTTAACTGCTGTGGTCTTGTAGTTTGAGGAAAGTTCAAAATCAAGAATAATTAAATGCAATGCAGGAAACTTAAGTTTTCTGATCATCTGGAGTTTTAAATGGTAATATCTGTTGACCAGTACTTGACTGAGGAAGTGAGAAGTTAGAGGAGAAAAGCCCATGTTGTATTACCTAAAAATGGAATCCTGGTGGTGGAGAAGAACATTTCTTCATTTTAGAAGTGGCTTGCTAATGCTTTAGAGCATGTCATATGGAAGAAATGTTCAGTGGAGGAAGTATTTCTTATACAAAGTATGTGTTTTTTGCTATATTCTATACTACATGGATTCATCTAAATGATGAATGAGCAGTACCAAGGTAGCTTATTCTCTGTAATTTTTATTTAAACAGACTTACAAAGAACACTTAGAAGGGCAGAAACACAAAAAGAAAGAAGCAGCGCTAAAAGCTTCCCAGAACACCAATAACAGCAGCACTTCTGCTCGTGGAACTCAGAATCAGTTGCGCTGTGAGCTGTGTGATGTGTCTTGTACAGGGGCAGATGCTTATGCTGCCCATATCCGTGGAGCGAAGCATCAGAAGGTAAGAGTTTTCTCTTGTTCTTATTACACAAGTCGGTCGTATATTTCTTCCCATTGTTATTTCTCATCTTAGAGAGGAGAAAATATGCAGAAACAATATGATTTTAATTATTTTTGTTTAAAGACATTTAGTTCTGCTTTTTGTTTCAAACTTGTCTTTAGGGTCACTAATGGAAGGGCCTTGTTGGCAGAAAGGGAGAAAAATATTGCCATCGCATCAATGAGAAGAGGAGGTGTTGGGAAAAGTATGTAAATCATAGGAAGAAGGTGTAGAGTAAGATGGGGAAAAGAGTCAGTGAGGGCATGCAGTAGCATGCTTGAGCCCCCTAACTCTTCTCAAGACTTTTATTGATATTCATCATATTTGTCTGGTGCTGTGAAGCTTTCAGTGCACTTTGAAACGTTGTAAGCTGAGTCAGTGCCAAGGGACAGGACTATGAAGCATCACTCACTTGCAGAGCCAATCAGCTCTGGTACAGATGCATTCTGCAGTGGAGCAGGGGATCACTGTGTAGAGGGGGGTTTCCTGAGCCAGGGAAACCCCAGGAGAATGCAGAGACCTGCCAGGAGCCAGCAGCTTTCATGAGAGCAGCTGATAGGGCATGGGTGGGGACAGGAGTAATGCTGGCCAACCCCTACTCCCGCCAAAGGCAGCCCTGGGTAGTGCTGCGGACAGGGCGGGCAAACAGGGCGTAGCACTTCAGCCAGGACATAGCGCAGCAGTTTGTACAGCAGTTTGTGCACGGAGGGTGGGCAAGCAGGACATGGTGTGGAAGCCAGCATGTGGTGTGGCACTTTGCACAAGAGGGTGCACGGGGACGGCAACTCTTCAAAGGAGGGGCATTCCACTGGCTGAGTGGGTGACTTGGAGTACACAGAACCAAGCAACCAGGCAGTGTTCTGTGGCCATCTGCACAGGTGAAGGGCACTCATCCTACCTGACCCTCAAGAGAGAATGTTGGGCACCCATCCAAGAGCAAAGGGAGCAGCTTAGGCTGGGGGGTCTGCACCATATACTCCAGCAGTGGCCATTGCCTCTCCCCAGACTGAGCTGCTAAAGGGAGAGGCTGCATTGCAGACCTCAGACTGCAAGAAGTGCCTGGACCTTTCTTCTGGGGCAGGGACAGGCGGCAGGCCTGCCTGCAAAAGGTGTGTCCAGGTGGAGGAGCTGAGCTGCAGGAGGTTGTGAGAGGGCTGCATAATATCAGGGAGGCTGAGAAGGAGTTAGATAGCTGGTTCCAAGCACAGTCTGCAGTAGACCCACAGCCCATGGCCAAACAGACAGGAACTCCCCCACTGGCACATGCAGAAGGGAGGGGGGCCAATAATGCAGAAGAATGGAAGATTACAATGGCAAGGACCAGCAGGAGGAAGAGACTTCCCCTGAAGCCTGAGATGCCTTTGCAGAACTGCTTCCACCGCCCTGCAGACTGAAGAGGAAAGACCATCACATAAGGAGAGACACTGGAGCGAAGTAGAGAAATCCGATCTGCTCCCCATGTAACAACCAGAGCAACTAAGAACAGGCAATGAGTGATAGTAGTACTTAACTCTCTTAGAAGAGGTACTTAGGCACCCATTTGACAACCTGACCCACTCTCTGGAGAGGTGTGCTGCTTACCAGGGGCTTGTATTAGGGCTGTCACCAAGAAACTACCAAGCCTTGTACAGTCCACTGACTATTATCCACTGCTGCTGTTTCACGTGGGCACCAGTGATACAGCCAGGAGCAGTCTGAGGAGTATCAAGAAGGATTACAGAGCCCTGAGAGAAGCGGTAGAGGACTGGAGCACAGCTATTTTTTTTTATTGATCATCTCAGTCAAAGGGAAGGGGTTTGAAAGGGCCAATCACATCTGGAGAATCAACAAATGCTTACAGGAGTGGTGCCACAGCCAGGGGTTCAACTACTTAGACCGCAAGACTCACTTTGAGAAACCTGATCTACTGGGCGCTGATGGGGTCCATCTGTCAGAGAAGAGGAAGAGCATCTTCAGTCATAGGCTTGCCAAGCTGGTGAAGAGGGCTTTAAAGTAAAGTTGCCAGGGAGGGGAACCTTAATCCATCCAACTCCTATCTGTTTGATGCCAGTGCCAGCAATAGATGCCCAGAGCTTGGAGAAGGATCGCAGGTCAGCAGGAGAGCGCCTGAAGAGCAGCACAAAGGAATTCCAGACACTTCAGACAGTAAGTCAGCTTAATTGGGGGCCAAACTTAAGTGCCTCTGTGCAAACGCACATAACACGGGGAATAAACAAGAAGAGACGTGCTCAAGCCTGCAGGGCTGTGATCTTATTGGCATATCATGGAGACATGGTAAGATGGCTGCTAGGACTGGAGTGTTGAAATGGAGGGATACAGGCTCTTTAGGAAGGACAGGCAGGGGACATGTGAAGGGGTGTCGCCCTCTATGTCAGTGACCAGCTGGAGTGTGTGGAGCTCCACCTGGGGATGGATGAGGAGCTGACGGAGAGCTTAAGGGTCAGGATTAAAGGGAGGGCAGGGACAAGTGACGTTTTAGTGGGGGTCTCCTACAGGCCGCTTGACCAGGAAGACTGAGCAGGTCAGGCCTTCTATAGAAGGATAGTACCAGCCTCACATTCATGAGCCCTGGTCCTCATGGAGGACCTCAACCGCCTTGCTATCTGTTGGAGGGACAGCACAGCAGGGCATAAGCAAGCCAGGAGGTTCCAGGAATACGTTGATGATAACTTCCTTTTCCAGGTGATAGAGGAGCCAACGAGGAGAGGTGCTGTGCTAGACGTTGTTCTCACCAACAAGGAAGGGCTGGTGGGGAATGTGAAGCTCAAGGGCAGCCTTGGCTGCAGTGACCATGAAATGGTGGACTTCAAAATCCTTAGGGCAGCAAGGAGGGCACACAGCAAACTCACTGCCCTGGACTTCCGGAGAGCAGAGTTTGGCCTCTTCAGGGATCCGCTTGGCAGAGTCCCATGGGATAAAGCCCTGGAGGGAAGAGGGGCCCAAGAAAGCTGGCTAATATTTAAGGATCGCTTCCTCTAGGCTCAGGAGCGATGCATCCCAACAAAGACAAAGGCAGGCAAAAATGCCAGGAGGCCTGCATGGATGAACAAGGAACTTCCGGGCAAAACTCCAACACAAAAAGGAAGCCTATAGAGGGTGGAAGCAAGGCCAGGTAGCCTGGGAAGAATACAGAGAAATTGTCCGAGCAGCCAGAGATCAGGTTAGGAAAGTTAAAGCCCTGATAGAATTAAGTCTGGCCAGGGGTGTCAAGGGCAACAAGAAAAGCTTTTACAGGTACGTCGGTGATAAAAGGAAGAGTAGGGAAAATGTGGGCCCTCTCCAGAAGGAAACTGGAGACCTGGTTTCCTGAGATATGGAGAAAGCTGAGGTACTCAACGACCTTTTTGCCTCAGTCTACACGGGCAAGTGCCCAAGCCACATCGCCCAAGTCGCAGAAGGCGAAGGCAGGGACTGGGAGAATGAGGAACCACCCACTGTAGGAGAAGGTCAGGTTGGAGACCATCTAAGGAACCTGAAGGTGTACAAGCCCATGGAACCTGATGAGATGCATCCAAA